TGGACCTAATGGTTGTAGATAACTTTTTCTAAAACTTTGAGAAAGGGGACAGTAGCTTGAGGGGATGGTAGGATCAAATCGGGTATTTTTAAGGATATAAACAATTTGGGTGCATGTTTTAAGCATCTGGGAAGGAACCAGTAGATAAGGGAAAGATTGGAGATTAAAGAGAAAAAGGATGATTGCTCCATTTCAAGTGCTGTGCTAATACTGAGGAATTGGAGGGAGGAAGGATGAGGAAAGGGTGCTCGGTTACCACCTGAAACACTTCCCTTTGAAAGGCTGTCAGCAGTGGCTGAGGAATCATAGCAGTGGCTGTTATCCCAGTGTACTCAGAGCAGCAAATTACTCAAACTACTGTTTAGGCTCGATCTGTGTTAAGTCAATAAAGAGAAGAAATAGCTACAGCCAGTCTCCCTGCCCACCTTGTTCCATTATCCCCTGGCACTGGGAGGACACAACTATCAGTCTGCCTGGGGTCAGCCAGTATTGTATAAAGATTAATTGCAATCCATTTGCTGATCTGATACTGTATGACAGCTCAGTCAGCCACTAATATGGATGAAAAGAAAGAGGGAATGATTCCTGCTTGCATAATTTTTTTTATGCCCCATGACTATCTCCAGTACAAAATTCTAACCAACAGCCCAACCTATTTATACCTTTTAGAAATCAGTTGATTTTCCTTTTAATACACAAGGAATGGAAGGGGAAAAATCATAGGCAGCAAAATTATGAGAAAAATTTAAATGTAACAATGATTCTTCTTAAACAGAATTGAAAAAAATAATAATCATACTGCCTAAGAGCAGTGACAGATACCACTTTTAGATGTTAATATTTACTTCTGGCAGATCTCCACTCACTGCAGTATTCTGTAAAGTGAATGGAATGTTTTTATGTTCTACTGAAATGTCTAGGAATTAACACAGTTACGGAAAGCCATTTAAACTAAAGTGTCATTTTGCAATTCAGACGAAAAACTTCCAGTAAGAACCTGATGGTCTTTAGTTCTTAAGTCAACATTTAAAAAGTAACCATTTTAGTTATAACTGTTAGAGGCAGCTGATGGCACAGTGAATTGAGGAACACCTGAATTCAAATCCAGCCTCAGATATGTACTATGTGACCCTGGGCAAGTCATTTAGCTTCTGTTTGCCTCAGTTTTCTCAAATGGGGATAATAATAGCACCTACCTCCCAGAAGTGCTGTGAGGATCAAATGTGATAATAATTGTAACATGCCTGCTAGGTGTTAGGTGCTATATAAATGTTTGTTCTGTTCCCTGTCTCATCCCTTAAAAAGTTCATTTACTTCAAAAACTTTAAATAAACCCTACTGACAATTTCCACCCAGAATTTTAGAGAACCTAACATTATATTTGGGTTGAAAGTCAGCTCAATTATCTATGGAACTAGTAAATGTGGGATGATAAATGCATAAAGTATACTGTGATAACTAAATAAGAAAGACCATGCCTTGTATTTATTTTGCATGAGATGCAGCATCATTTAATAGTGTGATAGGGAGCCAGTCTCAAAGTCAGAAAGACTGACCCGCCCATATGACTCCTGGGTAAGTCATCTAACATCTCATTGCAGTAGGCAACTTTCCCAAAACTATAACTTGCAGAAAATGCGCCAGCCTGCATTGGTGGAGGCTGTTTCTTCCCCACAGAGTTCCCTATACCAGTGAAATCACAAGTCAGGTCCCAGTTCCTCTCCCCGTATTTTGTATATACTTAATGTACATTTTATCTCCCCCAATATAGCCTTCTAACTGTAGGTCATATACTGGACATAAAGCATTTTTCATCCATTTAGCTTTTCCTGTGTGGATTGTAAGGTGATTTCTTCTGGTGTCTTTTAAATAAACATAATTAAAGAGGCTCAGGGTGTGCCTCACCTAGGTATGCCATGAACTGTATGGAACTGAAAGTCCCTCTTTGTGTCTCCAGAGAGAAATTTCAATATAGACTCAAGTCTATCTGTGGGTTCCCCCCTTTTCTTCCTCATTGTCTGGTTTACTCTTTTATAGAAACCACTGGCTCATAATGAAATAAAAACCAGCTCATCTTCATCTGAAGTCTAGAGACAAACCCATTAAAAAAGTATATACAGCAAGTAAACAAAATTAAAAAAAAACTACCAAGAAATTCTCCAGGAGGCCATATGCCTGTTTGCCAGTCAGGGAGAGGAAGCAAAGAGAGGATAAATTCACCAGGTCCCAGTAGCAGCAACAATCTGGGAAGCCACAAAATTCTGTCTAGGAGATCAGTAGGAAGCAAAGTCAGTGAGCTAGGCAAGGCTTCATCTGCTCACAATCACATTCAATTCAGGGTAGCACTATCCTTCACTTGAAATCAGTTGGCACATTCACAGAGCCCCCCTGATCCCTCCCTTCTTTGCACACTTCCTTCTGACCCCCCTTCCAGCTAAGAAAACCACTTCCCATTATTCCCCTTGCTAATAAGAGGCTACAGAACTTACACTTGCATTTGCATTAGTGAGTATCCTGAGTACCATTAGTGAGTATCCTGAGTACTCTCCTGTGACAGTGTTCATGGCAAAAACAAACAAACAAACAAAAAACAATCCTACAGTTAGCAGAAGAAGTTTGAAATCCACATAGCTCTATAATGTCCTGGAGTTTGATGCCATCAGTACAATATCTATCATTGTTACTATCTATAAGAAATATCTTTTCTATTTGGACCTTGCACAACATATCCTCCATTATAGAGGCAAACACCATTGTTGAGCATATACTGCTTTGCTTTTATGCCTGGCTTAATAATATTAGGAGACTTAGAATTATCTCTGTAGTTACATTTATCCAGGTATCTTGTAGGAGCTTAACAAAGGCATAAGAGATAAGGCATTAGATGATGGCCTTTGGGGCTTTTCTTGGGGCAACTGAGTCAAATGCCCTTTTGTAATGAACAAAATAAGATTTTTGTAACAAGTGAAATTTTTGTAAATCAACAATAATTGGGGTGGAATGTTCTTTATTGGCACTTTTCTGTTAATTTTGTGATTTTAAAGATGTGATCTGCTGAGGATAACTGTATTTAAAAGCCTTTCTGTTCCCTTCTCATGTTTTCATTGGATATTCTTACTTAACAAATGAGCAATCATATTCCAAATAATCCCTGATTGAATACAGTATAAAAAGTAAAGTTTCATTACCAATTACAAATTACTTGGAGAGAGGAAAAAAATAAATGCTTACTTACACTAAAAATTTCTCTATGATTACAGAATATTGTGGTGATTTTTTAAAAATCCAGTTAAAACCTTCCTTAAATACTTCTCTTGAGTTACTTTTCATTGACATAATACTTTGCCACCACCAAGAAACCTGATATCTTTAGAATGTTATTTATTTCATTTTCATTAATTTTTTCAAAAGTGAATTTCATCTGCTTTACATTTATCATGTTAGGATTATCTTTTGAAATCTTCATTTTATATTTTGAAGTTATATGCAGACAACCACTCAGTTATTCTTGACCCAAATATTTTAGCTTTCACCAATTTTTATTTAAAGTTAGCATTTTTGTTTGCAATTGCATTTTTTTTTTTGCTTTTAGGCAATTGGGGTTAAGTGACTTGCCCAGGGTCACACAGCTAGTAAGTGTCAAGTGTTTGGTCTGGGTCCGGATTTGAACTCAGGTCCTCCTGACTTCAGGGCCGGTGCTCTATCTACTGCGCCACCTAGCTGCCCCTGCATTTTTTTTTTTACTGAGGTTTTTAATCTCTTTTTCTTCTAACAGAGTCTGACTGGTATTAATTCTGTGTATTATTTCTGTCTAGGTCATATCTTCACTTCCCATCTACCCATTTATGACCTTTAGCCTCCTCTATTATGTCTGCATTCTTTGCCAGTCTCAGCCTTCTGCCAGGCCCCTGTTTTGGTTAATCTGGAGCCCACTCCATTTCAGATTGCCTGACTTATTTGCACAAAGGCAATTACTATCTGGCAAGAACGTGTATTATGTACAGAAGTATGATGGACACAAGACATTACTCTCCACTTCTTTTAACCCACGCACCAGAAGCATGAGATCTTAGCCTGACCATGAGGTTATGACCTTAAAAAAAAAAAAGAGAACCTTTTAAAAAAATGCTAAAATAAAGCATCCTCAGCTAAAGTCTTACTCTACTGCCTCATGAAGTTCTTAAACCAATGGAACGTCAAGGTCTGTCAGGCCTCCTAAAGTTTGAAAAGGCTTCCGAGTATGAATCCAGGAACAGATAATACTCACTTAAAAGACTAGCTAAGCTAAGTTCCAAGAGGCTGAGCCCAAAGACTGGCCAGCAAGTTACTGTTAATGTTATTATTATTATTATTATTATTATTATTATTATATTATTATTGCCATCATTACTTTCTGAAGACTATTGTAATCAATGAAGGGAGTGCCCAAACCATAAAAAAAATATGACTTATAAAACATTCTCCAAGGAAATGAAGTTGTATTTCTTTAAACTACATATAAAAGTACTACAGACAGGGATAAGGGAAGAGAGGAACCAATTATAAATCTTAGCTTAGCTTGTAAATACTTTCATTAGATAAGAATCATGTTTAATCAGCAGGGTGACTGGTTGAATTTAAACACTGCCACTAAAGTGGTGCTGGGAAAATAAAAAGTTTGTTGACCTTTATTCTTAAGTAGCTTAAGCTTTTCTCTTTTCACTCTTAATTTTATAAGCAAACATCTTTTTTACCATTAATATTTAGGTTAACTTCACCTTATATCAAAAATAGTAGAGTCCATATTAATGAGATTTTACATCTATTTTTCTTAGAGGCGATTTGGAAAAATGGAAAGAATATGGAAATGAATCAGATGTTTAAAATTTGGCAATATACTCACAAACACAAATGAGAATATATGTGATGTTCTTTTTGTTCATTATATGTTGCTACCAATACAGACAATGTGGTGAATTAATTTAAAAGCAGCATTTACACGACCTACTGATCTTTTCTAGATGAAAACTTTGCAGTGCCACATGATAAAAGAGGGGTTCTTGGTATGGCCAACAAGGGACGGCACACCAATGGGTCACAATTCTATATCACACTACAGAAAGCTCCTTATCTGGATCGAAAATATGTAGCTTTTGGGTATGTATAACAGGTTTATCTATTTACAATTTTAAATGAATACTCAAAAAGTCAGTAATAACCTATAAGGTAGATAAAAGTGACATTTGGAAAAAAGTAATAAAAGAAACACATTTCTAAAGGCATGAAGTTTTTTGTATAAATGAACTTTTTAAACTATTGAAACCATTTGAGCACTACCTTTGCAATGAATCTAAGGCACACTTCAATCTGCCACCGTGAATAATCAGCCTTAAATTACTGTGATATGCTCTATAATAGCTATTGTTTAGATTAGAATCACTAAATCTAGAACTTTGTGAAGGTAAAATCCTTAAAGTGAAATCATTCTCTTTTTTTCTCTTTTAAATAGTATTTTATTTTTTCCAATTACATGTAAAGGCAATTTTTAATGTTCATTTTTTAAAATAAAATTTTGAGTCCCAAATTTTTACTTTCCCTCCTTCCTAAGATGGCAAGCAATGTTATTTAGGTTATATATGTGTAATCATGTAAAACATATTTCCATATTAGTCATGTAGTGAAAGAAGAAACAGACAAAAGGAAAAAAAACATGAAAAAAATAAAGTGAAAATAATATGCTTTGCTATGCATTCAGACTTTATCATGGATGTGGATAGCATTTTCCATCATGAGTCTTTTGCATTTGTCTTAGATCATTGTATTGCTGAGAAGGCAGATTGTACAATGTTGCTGTTACTGTGTACAATGGTCTCCTGGTTCTGCTCATTAAGTGAAGTCATTCTTATAACAACTCATTAACTTCAATAAGGAGATCAAACTATCCAGGTTGCAGTAACATTAAGTTGCCAAAGAGTGATGATAAATACTGAAATATCTCGAATAACAATTATAAGGAGTTCAATAGCAACATACTAGGCACTTAGACCTAAAATAGATTGTTAATATATTTTACAACATTCTATAGGGCTTTATAAATATATGCATATAGTATATGTATACCTTGTATATAGTAAAATTTAACTTGTCCTACCCTTTCCCATTTCCATGCCCTTGCCTTTCTCAGGTATTACTCCTTCCGTAAACCCTCTCCTGATTGCCTTACCCTATACTGAGGTCTTCCTCCTCTGAATTTTCATGGCACTTTTTCCGCTCTCTGTGTAACTTTTCAGATTCTAAATTCATGTCATACTTATTTATGTGTATCTTATTTTCAACTGGTTAAATTATCAACTATCTGAGAAGGAGGTATGATCCTTTATTTTTCTTGCCTGCTTCCTACAACATCTTGAACATAGTAGGTACTCAATAAATATTTGGTGAGATGCAAAATGGTAAAATTTTGCTGAATGAATAGTGAAAGCTTGGAGCCCATTATAAAAAACACAGTATATAACACAGTTCTTCTGGATGTGAAGGTATTTCTGTTTTATTCTTGAGCTTGGTCACAGATCTTCCTGCAAAATTCCAAGGCTGCTGTGATACTTCAGGGATGAAACAAATTGAGAAAGACTCTTCTAGCCCAAGAGAGCCTTTATCCTTTTCCTAAAATCACGGGCATTTTCTATTAATAGACCATTAGAAAAAAATAATCATGCTAGACACCTTTAGTTTATTGTTCCAATATATTATTGTTATATGTTATTACTGATATTGTATTATTTATTATATTCATTTATATTATATATTGTTATATATTATTATTGTTAGTTTATTGTTTAATGAGCCTGTTATCTGCTCTTCCTTGTTACCATCATCTCCACCTTCCACAAAACAGAGCCTTTTTCTTTTTTTAATTCATTCCACCCCACAGAAAAGATAATTGAAGGGAGGGAATAGAAAGGGAAGTTGTTAACTTGGAAGCCTTTGTTACTTCTCTTGGATCAGGTCCTCCATGTAGATAATTCCATATTTGCCAACAGATTTTTGCAATAAGGGCATCACCATGCAGGACAACCTTTTTTTTTTTTTAAGGTAGTTGGGGTTAAGTGACTTGCCCAGGGTCACACAGCTAGTACGTGTCAAGTGTTTGGTCTGAGGCTGTATTTGAACTCAGGTTGTCCTGACTTCAGGGCTGGTGCTCTATCCACTGCGCCACCTAGATGCCCCCAGGACAACCTTTTTTTTCTTAATTTATAGCCACTTCAGTTCAAGTCAGACAGCTAGTGTCATAGTGGACAGAGCCTTAGGCCTGGAATCAGGAAGACATGACTTCAAATCCGGCCTCAGACACTTACTAGCAGTGTGACTGTGGGCAAGTCCCTTCGCCTCTGTTTGCCTCAATTTCTTCAACTGTAAAATGGAGATAATAATAGTACCTATATGCAAGGTTGTTTGGAGGATTGTACGAAATAATATTTGCAAAAGCTCTTACCACAGTACCTGGCACATAGTAGGTGTACATAAATTCTTCTTTCTCCTCAGATTTGGGTAACCCCAAGCAATGTATTGCCTAGGATTACTCAAAGGTTAAGGTTCCAAAATCCTCCACATGTTAATTAAAATTGGTTGAGTTTAACAAAAGTACTGCTGAAGATTTGGCAAAGACCCTGCAATGCTTTATGGACCTCTAGGCTGACACCATTGATATCTCTAACTCTAATCACAAAAGCTGATTTGGGTTCAGCAAGTACATGTAGTTGCCATGTTTTCACTTTATTCTCTTCAGTCAAACCACTAATGTACACCCACCTGTATCCCTTATGGTAGGTAAGCTTTAGCTCCTTCTTGAATAACCCTCCTCCTTCTTCTGAAGATTTTCTTTTTTAGTGGTCACGTCATGTGTTTGGCCTTCAGTTCTGCAAAGGCCTTTCATCTTTTCAGAAGGGATTCTGGAGCAGCTAGCAGCATCTTCTTCCACATCTGCCATGATTGCAGCCAGAAAAGAACATTTTATCTTAATGCATTACTGAGTATTTGTTGTCTCTGACCTTACCTGCTCTTAAGATATTCCAGATCTTTGAAAATGCATGTCCAAAATTGGCTTGGGTACCTAAGCAGCTAACATTTAACACCAATAAGCTTCTTAACCTTTTTATGCAAAACTAGCCCTTATTAGGGGCAGCTAGGTGGCTCAGTGGAAAGAGCTCTGGTCTTGGAGTCAGGGGGACCTGAGTTCAAATTCGGCCTCAGACACTTGACACTTACTGGCTGTGTACCCTGGGCAAGTCACTTCACCCCAATTGCCTCACAAAAAACAAAAACAAACAAAAAAACCCCTAGCCCTTACTGGCCAAATACCATGTCCCTGTGGACCACAGAAGTTTCTGGTGTGGTTGGCAAAGCTGGAATCCAGAAGCTGGCAAAATGTTCTATTTTGTTTCAGTAGATGCAACTTATGTAAGCAGCATGCCATGATACAGGTCAGGCAAGGGAATGGAAAGAAGGGAATAAACTTTTCCGTAATGCCTACTATGTGCCAGTCATTATACTAAGCATTTTTAACAAATATCTCATTTAATCCTCACAACAGCCCTGGGAGGTAGGTGCAATTATTATCCTCTTTTTACAGTTGAGGAAACTGAGGCAAACAGGCAAAGTGACTTGCCCAGTGTCCCATGGCTAATAAGCATAAGAGGCTGTATTTGAACTCAGGTCTTCTTGACGCCAGGCCCAGGGCTCTATCCACTGAGCCAAGCAGCTGCCGCTTAGGAAAGATCAACAGCTGAGAGATGATGGAGGTATAAATGCTCTCTCATCTCATTACCAAAGTAGTATAGTCATGGGGTGGTGGTCTCTCTTCTCCCCCTACTCCATTCTTGGTCATTGATGTAACTCAGTCTTTAACAGGGGATAGGAGAAGATAAGCAGCCAGTCAGTATCTCCACAGGACAACAGATTACCTAGTACCAGCCTCAAATCCAAAGATTTCTTCTGTACAATTTGGATTTGGTTGAAAGGCCCCACTTAAGGATCTAGAAGGCCACATGTGGCCTCAGGGGAGCAGCTTCCTCACCCCTGGCCTAAGCTATTCTAAAATTTTGGCCCTGTTAATCCAGTAAATGATGGTCTTTGGCACACTTTAGGATTAGTGTGAAATCTTTGCAATGGAGAAACTTTAAGTCACTCCCCAAAGACTCTTTTGAGGTTGTAGAGCCAGGCAAATGAACATCACTTTGATCTTGGGTAATGCTCACTGAGCTTAGTTTGAGGGAACAAGCCTCAGATATGTTGAGCTCCAGGCACTTATCATTGACTGCCTGCTAAACACCTCCTTTTGGATGTCTCACAGACATTCCAAATTCAACAAGTCCAAAACAGAATTCCTTATCTTTTCCTCCAAGTCAACCCTTCTTTCTAAATTTCCTGTTCCTACTGAGGGTACCATCATCATCTTCTGTTCTCTCTTTATATTCTTTCACGATAACTTCATCAGCTCCATGGGTTTAATTATCATCTCTATGCAAATCAATATATCTAACTCTAGTCTTCCCCCTGAGCTTCAATCCCAATTCACCAACTGCCTATTGAATATTTCAAACCAGACGTGTCCCAAAGACACCTCAAACTCAACATGTCAAAAGCAGAATTCATTATCTTTTCTCCAAAACCCATCCATTTATCAAATTTCCCTTTCCACCCCCCATTCTTCAAGTATTCTAGATTCATAACCTTTGTGTTATCATCTACTTCACAATATCCATCTCATCTGGCCTTTCATTTTTTTATTTTGAATTCAACACCAAATAAAATGAGAATTCCCATATGCAAAGCAGACCAGATAATGTGGACGGTATATATACTGTGAATCTCTATTATATACAGCTTGCTTTCTTTTACATATATGGTAAATTCAATGCAGTAAACTCAAAACTGTCCTGTTAATCTGTTTCCTTCTAAACTTCCTTCTCCTCCTATCTATGAGTTTTAAATACTTCAATGACCCTGTTCATATATATATATATAATATATATATATACATATATATATATACATATATATATGTGTGTGTGTGTGTGTATATATATATGTGTGTGTATATATATACACACACACACACACGCACATATATTATTGCTTGTCCCCAGTTTTTTTTTTAAAGGAAAGACAAAACTTTAAAAAAAAAAACACCAAATACATGTAGTTAAGCAAAACAAACCCACACATTGGCTGTTTCCAAAAAGCTTTTTCTCATTCAACAAACTGAGACTATCCCTTCAGTTAAGAGATTACCCCACATATCAGATCAGCTGCCAGATCTTTTCATTTCTACATCTACAACATCGCTCACATCTAACCCTTTCTATTCACATAAACCAACACCTTAGCACATTAGCACAGTCCCTAAAATCCTCTTGCCAAGACTGTTTTAATGACTTCTAGCTAGTCTTCATTTGTATTGTACTCTTCATGACCTCATTTGGGATTTTCTTGGCAAAGATACTGGAATGGCTTGCCATTTCCTTCTCCAGCTTATTTTACAGATGAGGAAACTGAGGCAAACAGGGTTAAATTACTTGCCCGGGGTCTAACAGCTAGTATGTATCTGGAGCTAGATTTGAACTCAAGAAGATGAGTCTTCCTAACTTCAGGCCTGGTACTCTATATACCGTGCCACTTAGCTGCCTATGTTGGGGAGGGCAACTAGGTGGTGTAGTGGATAGAGGACTGGCCCTGAAGTCAGGAGGACCTGAGTTCAAATTTGACCTCAGACACTTACTAGCTGTGTGACCCCGGGTGAGTCACTTAACCTTGTTTGTCTGTTTCCTCATGTGTAAAAGGGGCTGGAGAAGGAAATGACAAACCACTCCATTATCTTTGCCATAAGAACCCCAAATGGGGTCACAAAGAGTGAAACACAACTGAAAGGTGATTCACCTAGTTTTCATACCTCACACTTCTCCCCTCTCCAGTCCATTCTTCACACTGCTGTCAGGGTGATTTCCCTTAAACAATGATCTATGTTGGTAAACTCCAGTGGCTCCCTACTACCTCTAGAATAAAATATAAAGGCCTCTTTATGTAAAGCCCTTTACAGCCTGGCCCCAACCCATCTTTCCAGCTTTTGTGATTGCTTCCCTTTCTGCACACTGTCATCCAGACTAGCTGGCCTTGGCCTTATCTCTGTTCTCACCCACTGCATTCCTTCTCTCACTTGTTCTTGGAATGTACTCTCTCCTCTGAATCCATGCTTTGCATACTCCCTCTTTTCCTTCAAAATGAAGCAAAGCACCAATTGTTCTAGAAAGCTCTTCTTAACCCTTCCAGTTCCCTATTATATTCATTTTGCATTTATTCATTATTTACTCACTCAGGAATCTGAGCGTATCTCAAGAAAGAATGTCGGCTCCGAGAGTAGAGATTGTTTCTTTTTTCTTTTTTTTTTTTTTGCATTTGTATCTGCAGTGCCCAGGAGGAAGTGAATATATATGTTCATTGATTGATTGATTGATACATCCTTCTCATCACCCAGGCTGTGGAGACACCCTTGACTCAGCTTATCACCCCCATAGTCAGTTACCAAGTTTTGTCAGTCTCTATAACATCTCCCCCAACCAGTCCCTTCTTTCCACTCACACAATCACTGTCCTGGTTTAGAGCTTCATTAACTCTCACTGGACTATTGCAGTAACCTTCGATAAATAGTTCTTGCTTTCCATTTTCTCCTCTCTCCAATGCATTCTGCACACAGTTGTAAACTTGATATCATAGGACTGTAGATTTAGAGCTGGGAGAGGCCCTAATGGTCATCAGATCCCCTTGATTTTACAGATGAGGAAACTTTGACTCAGCAATATCAGTAGTAGGTCTATTTCCAAAGATGATTAGGGAAAAAGGAAAAGAACCTTTATGTTCTAAAATGTTTATAGCAGCTTTTTGTGGTGGCAAAGAACTGGAAATTGCAAGGATGCCATCAATTGGAGAATGGCTGAACAAGTTATGGTATTTGATTGTGATGGAATACTCATGTTCTATAAGAATTGATGAGCTCAGTGGTCGTAGAAAAACATGGAAAGACTTGCACGAAATAATGAAGAGTGAAATGAGCAGAACCAAGAGAATATTGTATATAGTAACAGTAACATTGTTTTAAGAATGACTTTAGGAGCAGCTAGGTGGCACAGTGGATAGAGCACTGGCCCTGGACTCAGGAGGACCTGAGTTCAAATCCAGCCTCAGACATAAAACACTCACTAGCTGTGTGACCATGGGCAAGTCATTTAACCCCATTGTCTGTCAACATTTTGACCATTATAAAAACCCAAATTAACTATAAAGAGCATATGAAAAAAGATACTATCTGCATTCAGAGAAAGAACTGATGAATAGATGTATGTGTAGGATAATTTTACATATATACACCTATTTGTGTCTAATGGTAGCCATCTCTGGGGAGAGGGGGGAGGGAAAAAAGAAATTTACATAACTATTATATATTTAAAAGGAATAGCAAGTTGTACATAATAGACTTGCAGTTTCATGTGCAATCATCTTTTTTGTTATACTATGTTATGGAAATGCTTGTTTTATTCTATAAATTAAAAATAGAATAAATAAAACACATACAAAAACCTTAGGCGAGTTAACTGACTTGCCCATAGTCACACAGGTAGCATGTATGTGAGGTGCAATGTGGATCCTGGTTTTCCTGGCTCCCAAGTTCAATAAGGTATCCACTGCACCCACTCTGTGTCTCATATAGTACTCAAACACAGGCCAGATCGTGTCACTCCTCTGCTTGCTAACTTTACATGACTCCTTCTTGCCTCTAGGATAAAATATAAGCTCCTCATTTAAAAAATCCTTCACACTCTAGGTCCAGCCTACCTTTCCCAACGAATTTCATATCATTCCACCTCAGACCAGGGGTGACCCATAGAAGGATCTTAATGAAAATCCCTGGTCTGTATTGATGGCATTCATCTGCACATTTTCTCGTGAAATCTCTGCAGTCTGAGTGTAGTAATAAATGTCTGGGAGCCCATTCTCCTGTGTGTTCTTGGACGGGTGGCCCTCCTTCATTCATTCCATCCCTCCCTCTCTCTTCTGCTCTCTTCTTATTTTTTTCCTCACCTCCACCTCTTTCTAGTGTCCATTTTTAACCCTATCTTCTGCTTAAAGAAAAAAATCTTCATTTATTAATAAAAGCCCAGGCAAAATCCACTCAAGAAATTAAATTTGTATATTTGGCTGATTAAAATATAAATCATCTTAAAAACAAAAACAAAGGTCCACTGGCTGTTCTCCATGAACGACATTCTATGTCCCGCCTCCTTGCTTTTGTTTCACTCCATCTTTTTGTGGGTTCTACTGCTTTAGAATTTGTTTAGAGCCATTTTTTACAGGTATTTGTAGGGGTTTGGGGAAGAGCTCAAGCAAGGCTGTGCCCTGCCTCCTTTTTTTTGTACCAGCTCTCTCCTATCCCTAAAATTCTCTTTTCCTCCCTTCTACCTCTTGGGCTTCCAAGCTTCCTTAAAGGCTTGGCTGAAGTGCCAACTCTTATACCAGGTCTCTCTCTCTCCCCTTTAATGCCTTGCTCTGCGCTAGAGAAATTGTATTAATTTTGTATACATTTTTAATTTACTTATCTCTGTACACGTTATATCCCCTCAAGAGAATATAAGCTCTCTGAGAACTGGCCTGTGTCTCTAGCATAGTACCTGGCACATGGTGTCAATACAATGCTAATTGAATTGAACGAGTTAAGTTGAATGGCATGGTAAAGGACCATAAGAGTAAATCAGTGATGAAACTTTGTGGTTTAACTGATTTTTACCATTTTTTTTCTCTATAGGCAACTGATTGAAGGAACAAGAGTTCTTCAAATACTGGAAGTAGTGGACACACTGAACGAAAGACCAGTATATACTTGTAGAATTATCGACTGTGGTAATTATCGCTGATAACATAAAGACCAAGATTTCCTTCTCTAGTTTACTATTACTTTTCTTATTATCTCTATCTAGATTTCAATAAATGATTTTGGAAAAAAAAACTGGGAGCCCAATTTATTTTGGAATCCTAAAATATTCACCCTAAGTAAATAAAGCATTCTGTCATTTGTGTTCACGTTGAACTTACCTTTATTAAGCTTAAATGAAAGAGAAACATGGCAGTATACAACCATATGGAAGAAATGCATTCAGTTAATGGCTTCTTTAGCTCCAGGGGAGAGTCTTCCAATGTTTGCTTATACTTAGAATTAGCTCAGTTAAGAGGAGATCCCTAAGCCATCCCTAAAAAAAGTATGTTATTTATAAAAATTGATATTTTGTAGTGCTCTTGGTATGATTCATCAATGGCAGAAAAAAACTTGTCACTGGAGAATGTACCCGACATTAAGCATATTTTTTGTTATGAATGGACTAATGAATTTGCCCAGGTAAAACGATACTTGAAGCCAATTACTTGGCCGCTTTAACACAATATCCAGTATGCAGTACAGCTGTGACAGCCTCCTCTTCCTTAGTATCAGCCCAATTTTATCCGTTCTTTCTGTATAGAACCTTTAGCTATTGGTTATTATGAGTGAAAAACAGTTCACGTGACCATTAGAAACACCCAGAGTAAAATTTCTCTCTTGTAATGATTTTTCTGTGCAATTTGGAGAAATTAGTTTTTAAAACACAAAATCTTGAACTCAGGGGTACCTACTAAGGAATATGTTTTATTGATAGGAAAATATTTCTCATGAGCCCAAGATAATTTCAAATTAAAAGGTTCTATAATTTTCCTAAGCTCCCCCAAATATCTCAATGTTAATTTCTGAAAAAAATTTATAAATATGAAAAGGATTCTAATGATTTACAGATGATTACAAATTTCCCAAATTCTAATTAATGTTTAGTTACTGTGTTGGTGGGGAGGGGGAGGAAGAGACTTTTCCCTCCCTCATAATAATATATTGTGTACTACCTTCTGGTGGCTTATATATTACTAGGATAAGGTAGAAGACTAGAAGGGCTAGAGCTAGACAGGATCACAGAGGCCATACAGTCTATCACCCCCATTTTACAGATGAGGAAAATAAGCTGCAAGGAGGCTAAGACCAGAGTCTTCTGACTCAAGGGCAGGTGCTCTTTCCATTGTACATGCATGCTTTGAAGACTTTGTGGCAGCTTAACTGAAATTGATTTTTTTGAGGGTTTGAGATAATTCTCAACTGAACGTTTAAAATTCCAGTTCAATTTCCATCCATTCTTCAAGTTTTGTTGTCACCAAGTACAAACTACTTTGTAGCAATGACTGACCAATCTGACAAATGAATGAAAGTTGCATCCCTTTAGTTTCGAAGATTTTTTTTCTCTTTCTTTTCTTTTTTTTAAGATTTTTTTTTGAAAATTTAAATTTATTTTTAGTTTTCAACATTCACTTCCACAAGATTTTGAGTTCCAAATTTTCTCCCCATCTCATCCCTCCCCCCACCCCAAGAAGGCATGCGTTCTGTATACCCCTTCCCCTAATCTGCCCTCCCTTGATTCAAAGATTTCTTAACTAAGGTTTTGTAGTCTTAGCTTTTAAACAATAGGTTATCCATTAACACATAATGGAATTAAATCATATTTTAGCCACCAGGGGGCAATGATGTCCCAATCTGATAGTATTCAGTCTAAGAACCAGGCACCAGGAAGTCCCATGTGAAACAGCAGTTACGTGCTCCTCCAGAGGGAGCTCTCAGAAAGTGCTAATTTTTATGATGCCCATGTGTACCATAGGGACATACGGTTCCCACGAATCCCTTGGTACTGATAATCTCTTTCTCCCAACTCTGCCACTTTCTGAATGGCGGCACTTGGCTCCACTTAGTAAGGTAATAGTTCCCAATGTTTTCTTTGTTCCATGAACCCCTTTCAACAACAAAAATGTGTTATAAACCCCAGAGAAATTTAATATACTATTTATAGTATTATTTTAGATTTATTCATCAATTTCTTATGATAACTAAGATGATTTTCGCACATCCAATCACTCCAAATTGCTGTAGGAGCATCCTATGATGCTTCAAATATGCATCTGCTGTTTGTCACAGAGGGAAAACATATTCGCAATATAATTAAGCGATTATTTACTGCTTAAGGTGCCATTAACGAATTTTTAGCTTCACTCGTGAACCATCATTGTGAACCTCCAAAAGGGTCAAGAACACTAAATGGGAAACACTGCTCTAAGGAATCTAGTCAATGCAGTTTTATTCAATCAGAATAACTCTCAATCCCAGCGAAATTTCTCCCTTCTCCCTCAATCTGCTGAATTTCATTGAACCTTAGTCACTTGAACAGGGTATAATGAAATCAGCCACACAAGAAGCAGAATTACATGCCACTATAAAGTTTTAATTCATAGGCAAAAAAAAATCAACAAAAGAAATAAAATCTATGTAATATCTCCTCTGGGATACTCTGTCCAATTTAGAACTCATGGGTTTGCAAATTGGTTCCCCAATAGGGTGACAATATCAAGGTTCTAGGTGTAATCCCTTGGGTTTATACGTCTAAAACTATATTGTTCATAAACCCCAACTTGTCTCTTTCCCATTAATAATTAGCCAGTGGGCACAACTGGCTCTTTTTTTAGCAAAGGCATTTACCAAATGTCATAGTAAAATAGAAATTTCAACAGTATTCCTTCCATAATCCTGTGATATACTCTCCTACAACCATGTATAGCATCCATGGAAAAAGTGGGCACAGAAGAGTGACAGTGAGGCACAAGTATAGTATATGTGTATGACAAAGGCAACCCACAGCTCCTACTGCAAAGCCTAGAAATCCTCTCTTTCTTCATAGGGTCTTCCCATAGCTTTCCTTAGGTACAGTGTCTTGACTGTGCAGGTTGCTCCGCTGTGTTCCAGGGTCTGCTCCTCTCCACAGCTCAATTTTTGACTGGCAGAACTAGAGGCAATTGGCTCTCTTCTCTGCTTCCAAGTTCCCAGGGCCAGCTTCCTTCCACAAGTGACTAATTTTTCTACATTTATCTAAACTGTGATCTGCTCTTTTAGTTGTTCCTTGAACTCTCTCAAACTGACAAATTCTCTAACATCTGGATGATGTGTCTCCCTCTTGGCAAGTACCTGTTAGATACCATAACTGATGGGGAAGGAGGAGGAGGAGAAAATTCCCTCCTCAACCCCCCTGCAACAATCTCACTCCACAACCACTCTCAACCTCTACCTCCCTGAATTCTCTAGAGTTTAGCTATTTAAAGCTTCCAGGGGTGGGGTTAATTTTTCTTTACCCAATCAGTTCCCTTCCCACTCAATCAGAAAAGTGCTTACACCTTATAAAGGGATCATTAAGTAAGGGAACAATTTTATAGTTAGTTGAACACCTTTTGTTAAAACCTCATCAACTGTTTCTAAATCCTGTGACTACATTAATGGAGGGGAGAGAGAGGAAGAATTATATTCTTTCTTTCTTTCTCTTTTTAAACTGAATGCTATGTAATTTTAATAACCAAACTTGTCCTCAGGCATGAAATAAATAAATAAATATACTTTCCTTGAAGAGGTAAGGGGATAAGTGAGCAGATATTTCTTTCTCTCTCTCTCTCTCTCTCTCTTTCTTGCTCTCTTTCTTCAGCTTTTAGCCACCACATAGCTATGCCTCTCTCAGGCTCTGACTATCCTCAATTCAGAGTTTAAGAAAGCCACAGTTTCATTGTTTAGCCCTCTGTTCCCCCATCTTTTTTTTAAAATAAGCCTTTATTAAGCAACTTATATGTGTGAGACACTGTGCTGAGCACTTTACAAATATCTCATATGATCCTCACAAAAACCCTGAGAGGTAAGTGCTGTTATCATTATCATCCCTATTATATAGCTGAGGAAACTGAGGTTAAGTGACTTGTTTAGGGTTACATAGGAAGCGTCTGAGGCCAGATTTTGCTTTAGGTCTTCCTAACTGTGAGCCCAGCATTCTATCGACTGCATCACCCAGCTGCTCTTCCCCTATCCTGAGAGAAAACAATGGCGTTAATGAAATAGAACAGTTCCGAAGTGCTGTTCCTCTCCCAGCCTCCTGTGTCCTTGAAGACTCACATCACCTGTCAGCTTCACCAATGCATCTCAGTCATTTCTGAGGTTGAGTTGCCCTCTGGCTCTTTCGTCAGCATCTTCCTTTTGTGTGCACCCCCAGCCTCAGAGGCTTTATGAGCCAGCATCAGCTAAGATGTGGAGCTTACCTGTCAAATGATTAAAGCTTGCCTATTAGAGCAAATCTAGAATATTAATGCGAATAAATGATCTCTCTCCACTTCTGAGACATCACGCCTCAGGAACCAGCCTAGAATGACTACAATCCCAGAAGTCACCACCCTACCGGAAAAGTATCATCAATAGACATTAACTGAGCCCTCCATCCTCCCTCCCACCACCTCACCCCCCACCCATGGTGGTCAGCATGCATATCCTTGTACAGTGGAAAAATCTCTTAAGTCAAAGCATCTGGGCTCAAATCCCAGCTTTGCCCCACATGAACTTGGACAAGTCTTTTTAGCTCTCTGAGCCTCAATTTCCTTATCTGTAAAAGGCTGCTAACCACTTTACAAAATTCAAGGCTCAAATGGATTAATCTATATGAAGTTCTCTATAAAGCACTTTGTAAGCTATAAAGGGCTATAGAAATGGGAGCAATGCTGGAAATGAGGCCCCAAGTTAACTGTTTTCACATTCTTTTTTGTTTCTTTCTCTCAGTTAATTCCTCCTTACTTCAATATTTCAAGGATTTATGATTTCAAAAAATGGCGGGTCCCACCGGTGATTCAGACTGCAGTCCCCTAGTCTTAAGAGAGTTATCATGGTTGAGTCAAGTCCACAAGTGTTTATTAACACCTACTACTCAAGAGGCACCATGTTAACCTCTGAGGATGAAAAGAAACAGTCCCCTGCCGCATAGCCTCTGACAAGTCTTTTCTACATCTTGCCTCTCAACAAAGAAGAGTTGCATTCAAAACAAGAAATCCTTTTATAAGATTGTCCTGTATTTCTCTTTCACGTTTTATGCATAGCACAATAGTAGTAAAACAAAAAGCTTAACACTTTTAGAAATTAGAGCAT